GTACCTGGCGGCATCGAAGCCGGCTCGTGATGAGTTACAGATGATCATGCGGAAGACTCGCATACCTCTATCGGAGATGGGGCCCCCTAAGGCGGAAGCTTCTACAGTAACAGTAACGGAGGTGACTGCCAGAGCGGATCGCATGGCGACAGTCCTTCTCGATGGAATGGAAGGTGTGCCTCCAGACAAGTTTTATATACTTGGTAGCGGGGCCGTGGAGACGATTATAAACGATGGAGCGGTACTCGATGCTGTGATCGATAACGGCAGTGAGGCTGTCATCATAGACGAGGACCTGGCAGTACAGGTTGGACTGGGCCTCGACAGGTCGTACCTGTTCGAGATAAAGACGGCTGATGGGAGAAAGCAACAGATCACTGGGGTTTGTCACAAAGCAGCCATAGAAGTCCAAGGAGTAAGAGTGACCCTGCCTGTTTTTGCGGTCAAGAACTGCAGCTCCGACCTGCTCTTGGGTCGAACGTGGCTGAGCCACGTGCATGTGGTGACGATAGAGCGACCTGATGGGAGCCAAACATTGTCCATTAGGAAGCCAGACGGGACACGGGTGATGATTGAGACAGTGGAACCTCGGGACCCGAGGAACAGAGCAGCTCTCGCTGTGGGTGCAAGACCCAGTGATCAGATTAGGTCTTTACCCATCTCCGGCCGCGCGGTGCGATTTCGCGAGAAGAGATATAGACCACTGCTCACAGAGGAAGAAGGTCGGATCGTGGAGGTGGAAGATTTAGGAAGCCGACTAATAGTGGACTGCAACTCATCCCCAAAGGGAAAAGAGGAGGAATTTGGCAGTCTGGTATCCGTGTCTTTTTTAAGGGCACGGCCCCTATGGGGGGCTACCCAAGCGACACAAGTGAGTAGCTCAAAAAGTTAAGCCAGCGGCAGTGGGCCGCGAGCGATCGACACTGGAAGGTGTATCAGAAGAAGAGATCGCGAAAGAAATCAAAGAAAGAAAAAAAAAGGAGCCACAACGCTTAACGGAAGAGAGGATAGCAGGGATGGACATCGGAGATGGAAATTTAACCCCACAGGAGCGAGAACGTGTGATAGAAATCCTGAAGACATGTGATAAGGCCATAGCTTTCAGCGACGCGGAGCGCGGTAGGATTGACCCTCGATACGCTAAGCCAGCGAGGATTTATACGATTCCACATGTTCCTTGGAATGACGCGGGATGGAAGTACGCCCAGAAGGAGAAGGAAGAAGTTATCGCTTCCCTNGAGATGGATATAGGGACGACAGATACGAGAGGTCGTGTCAAGATGGCTACAGAGGAAGTAGATATGAAAGAGGAGATACGGACTGGGAACGACAATAAGGGTCGTGCGGACGGTTTGAGCGCGGGGGAGATGCGAGAGAGCAGCGCGCGAAGAGTCGCGGGGGTGGTACAACCGAGGGGATCGACGCGATGAGTCACGAGGACGATATGACTCGGGGGACCGCCGAAATGATTCGCGAGGGCGGTATGAGCAAGGAGGGTCTGGAGGAGACCGGCGCAACGATTCGCGCGGTCGGAATGAGAAAGGGGGATATGGCGTCTCATCAGAACCATATCCGAAGTCGCCTGACCCCAAGGCGGCCAGGAATTCGATCTTTAGAGGCGCAGACGATAGGGCATCTACTCTCAGGAACTCATGCGTCTACTGTAGAGGAGAAGATCATATCAAGAGGGATTGTCCGGACCTCAAACGGCCAATAGATGAGGGACTTGTCGTGCTTGACGACCGCAAGTACGTCAAGTGGGCAGATGATCTAGGAGATGTATCGATGTTCCCTTCGATGAAGGAGAATGTCGAAGCAAGGAGAATAAAGACGAGTAAAGGAATGGAGCCGGTCAGGAGCCAGAGCATCAAGATAATCTTTGAGGGGGATATCGCGACTACACCCATAAGGGTGGCAGCCACCAAGTCGGCAAGAGGGACTACATCGAAGAAGACTGACACGGATTACGTGATGACGGAAAAGGACGGGCAGCGGGTCGATGGAGAGGTGGTTATCCTTTCGCCGCGAAGAAGGGGAGTGAAGAAGTTCTTAATGAAGAGTTCGCTGGACGAGATTGATACTGTCGAGCCACTGAGGCGGGCCCTTCGGCAACCCATGCAGTGCTCTATTCTGGAGTACCTGGCGGCATCGAAGCCGGCTCGTGATGAGTTACAGATGATCATGCGGAAGACTCGCATACCTCTATCGGAGATGGGGCCCCCTAAGGCGGAAGCTTCTACAGTAACAGTAACGGAGGTGACTGCCAGAGCGGATCGCATGGCGACAGTCCTTCTCGATGGAATGGAAGGTGTGCCTCCAGACAAGTTTTATATACTTGGTAGCGGGGCCGTGGAGACGATTATAAACGATGGAGCGGTACTCGATGCTGTGATCGATAACGGCAGTG